GATTAGGACCGTCAGTAACCCTTACAAAATAGACTTTGATTAAAAAACTGGTGAAAAAGGTGTGACACCACAGTGGGGCTGCTTGGTGTCACACCTTTTTCACCAGTTTTTTAATCAAAGTCTATTTGTAAGGGTTACTGACGGTCCTAATCATGAATATGGTACTAATTATTCATGCTAACTCCATTTTGCGCGAATTTTGGAAACGTCAACTCGAAATGCAAAAATTTGTCACCACGAGGAATCGAACTAGGGACCCCTTTTCTGGTATTCAGAGGGCCGTTCAGGAAAAATAACATGGTTCTGTGGTTCCCGCATGTGCCCCAATGTCATGCAAGAAACCATTTTGAAAAAGCTTGGCACACCTGAACGACCTCCCTTTTAAGGGGAGAAAAGCGAGTAATTCTGCAAAAGTTTTGTAGTAGCAGTTCCCAGTATGAATGCAGCAGGACCGATTTTGCAATTTGGCGAGATTCCAAAAATGCTCTAAGCGAGGGAAAGCTTTGCAGGCCTTTCCCTCGGCGAAAGGTCGTTGGGAATGGTAGTAAACACATCGTATGTACCAGACTCCAATAAAATTACCTGGAAATCGAAAAAAGCTTATCCGAATCTCCTAAAACTTTTTGTAGTGATTTCCTATTCAATGCAGAGAGCCCCTACAAGCGGCATGTGACAGTAGTTATTCCCATAGAAGCCTAGAAGCACTACTATCACCTGGGCGATGTGAATCCGCTTCCTCCGTTTATAAAGTACATAAACTGGCTCCCAAGCCTACAAGTTGTGCCGTTTTCGCGGTTTTTTAGGTGAGCAGCAGTCTGGCGGGTAATGTCAGTCTCAGCCCTGTCCCACAGAAGTCCCACTGAGAATAGTCCCTCGCAGGTGTCTTCGCGCCGTTATCCCATTTCTTCAGTTCGTCGTCAAAGTCTTATCCAAGCGAGGAATTTCTCCGACGATGCCCGTACAGCGCACCGAGTTAACCCTAGGGTCCCCAACCAATTATTCCGTTTCATTTTTCGCTGTCGGACTCCATATCACCTGAAGTCCCATATTCAGATCCACGTGGCCAATTTGGCCATGCTGGTACTATGTGCCTTCGAGTCGCCATATTAATGCAGACCAGGACGAACTTTAGGAAGTGTTCACCGTTTTGAATTTTTGATTTTATGGAGTCGTAATTTGAAACATGGAAACTTACTGCTTCTTCTACCGCGTCACTGTTGCCATACTCATGCATGTGCTGTAATTCTTGGATTTGGCCACGGTTCAGAAACGTATTCAAACCGATTTTCGTTCCTTCTCCGTCATCTTTTCTTCAAAGAATTAGTTTGAAAATGAGGTGTAAAATTCAATTTTGGCTGGAATTGGATACCGTTTTTCCGCAATCAGAAGGATTCTTTTGTATTTTCGCAGAAGTGGCTGGAGATCTCCTAAACAGCCCATGCTTTCAGGATGCCATTTTCTGGCTATTCGATGGGCCAAATCCCTGAAATATTTCAGTGCTCAAATTTTTCAGCATTCGGAACTGTAAACGATTACTCACTTACCAGTATTGAAACACTGAAAGCTCATCTCTTATTGTGATTTCAGACTCCCAACCGCTTATACATTCTTCAAGGCGTGTCCGTAGAATGTTTCGGGTATCTACAAGATTTACTTCGATCGGTTGAGCACTTTTGCCGAATAGTTCTACATCATCCTGAAATAACGTCTTAAACCTGGCCCTAGGCGCTTTCCTTGGGCACTGCATAGGCATTATGGATCAACTTTAGTGATTTTACTTCGATACAGATTTAAAATGCTCATATGACCCAATAATGGCCAGACGAAATTGGCCAGAAAAGAGCACATTTGTAAGCGCTGAAGTGAAAAGCATGAAGCCACTGGACAGAATGTGGGGCCCCTTTGTGGGTCAGGAGACCTCAATTGTGGCTCGTGATCCAAAAGTGGTGAAAGGTCGCTCGCTTTGCTCTTGATGAGAGTCAGTAAGGTTGTAAACGCTCTCACTGACGTGGAAGCATCGTGAAAGAGTTGAAAGCCTATGTGCACTGTAACAAAAAGAACCAAAAATCCACTCGCGCAATTTTTAGCAAATTTAAAGAATTGCGGCCGCTATCTTACCCATGGTCAGATAAGAGAGAAAACTAGTAAAATGGGATCGCCGAAGGCACGAGAATTTGTTAGATGCATATTTGTTACTGATTCGGCCACTGAGCGTTTCAGGAGAACCGATCAGTAGGTAATATCTACTTTCTGCGATTCTCAGAGTCCACTGAGATTTCTGAATTTTGAATTGTAATAAATATTGAATTGTTTTAAAACAACTGAAAGTATTGATCGTCACACTTGGACGTTCGTAAAACAATATTTTTCGTTTTACACAAAGATACGAAAAAAGTAAAAAGAATGGAATGCTTGAATAAAAAAGGCATACGTAAAATTAGATAACTTCTAAAGCAGGAAAGCAGGCTAAAAATAACACAAGAATTCAGAAATCAGAAATCGGCTCATGTCTAGGCGAAAAAGTTTCAAGCAGTGGAAAGAGTAAACATTATTCAAGGAAAAATAAAACTCTCCACTCACATGTCCAGTCACTAGTGTAGATATGGCCAAGCAGGCGAGAGCAAGACGAAGTCTCATCGAGGTTAATGAGTGGGTTATTTCCATTTTTAGACTCCGGTATTACCAAGGAGTGATAGCGGACCACGGGCTGATAACGGCCGACTTCGTCGCCGAACGCAACCCGGCTGCCCTCAACCTGGAAAAAATATGCGTTTTGTCGAAGGTTTACTCGTAGCCATGAGTACGCACTTATCCGCAAAGTAAAACTGGTGGATTGAACAAGAAAACGTTCCAAGCAGTCTCGATTTAGACAGATCTGATATCTGATAAAGAGTTGGTCAAAAAGTTAGTTCGTCAAAATTTTTTCTGAAAACCACGATCAGACTTTCTGACACGCAATAATAGGCGATGAGAAGGGTTGAGGACATGGACCACTTGCTGTTTCGGCTGGTGATGTTCCAGACAAGATAGAAGCAATTTTGCTGCACCCTCCATCTCCTAGAGTTAGTACTACGTTGTCCCCTAAGTAGTGTCGCTTTTTTCAAACAGAAAATTGTCCTCTGAACCCCCAAGTTTTTACAACACGCATGTACATGTATACCAGAGCGAATTTCTGTCTTTCACATTCATTGCAGGGTTTTCAATTTCAGGCTTGCAAAATGGGAGGTCTTGTCGACAAAACTAGCGAAACCGACAACTAGCCATAACTATTCCCTAGAAGGAATTAGTCACGGCTTAGTCACAACCTCCCCTAATCATTTCGCTATTAGATTTCCAAACAAGTCGCGTTGCTCCATTTCCAGACCTGGTTTTTCAACCAGAACTCGACGGTCAAGCACCATTACCTGAGATCTAGGTCGAAATTTTTTTACAGCCGAGACATTGAAAAACTAGTAGAATTTAAAGAACAAGTCATGACTAAGTTAGGAATGTACGCCTGGTTGATTTTCTCATCTTCTCAGGGATAATTTTTTTCAAAGAAATGCGGTCACTTTCGTGGACAAAACACCTTACCCTAAACACCTAAAATTCGAACTAATTCCCAACAAACATAAAAACAAAACAAATGAGCGAATAGAGCAGAAGAAGTGCTCACAAAAGATACACCACTTGATATAAAACAATAGCGTTTCAGAGGAAGAATTTCAATTTGAAAATTGCTATGGCTTATCGGTCAGCCAATTCGAAAAGAAACACGGCAAAGCTTTTTCGGCAACCTAAGGGTGGAATGTTAGAAGAGGTCATGAGTAAGTAGAGGGTACATCATTGATTGATTTCTCCAAGGGAAGATAAAGTTAGAGCTAGTTGTCGGTTTGGTCAATTTTTGTCGGCTGGACCTCCCATTTCGCAGGCCTAAAATTTGAAAACCCTGGAACAGAGGTGGAAGAAAACATAGCATCTTGTAGAGCAGACAATTCTCTTTCGAATGGTATATGACACGATGTAAAAGCATGGGGATTTAGATGAAAATTTTTGGTTGAAAAAAAGCGACACTACTTATGAGACAACCTAATAGAAAGATGCTAGATATTGGACAAATTGACATATCTGTTACTCGGAAGTG